TAAACCCTAAACCCTAAAGGTTCGGGGATTCGGGCTTTGGGGGGGGTGGGGGGCAGGGTCAAGTTGGTTGAGTCTTGGAGTTTAGAGCTGTGGGCTTCAGGCTGAGGGAATTAGGGTGTCAGTTTCTACGAGGGCTCTATATCTAGGACATTTTCAGGTGGGTAGTTACCGTTGTAGGAGCCTTATAGGAGGTCTAAATACCTTACAGAAGCCTTATAGAAGCCCTATATACCCTAAACTCCGCACCTGTAGTTTCCTTTAACTATATTCATGGTTTCATGGGGGGCGTAGAGGGTTGCAAGATAAAACCCTCAAGCCCGAGCTTCTTAAAAAGATCACTTCTGGGAGCCGTCAAAGGAAGCCTCGACTCTTTAGGTGAGCCTAAAGTTTGGGGTTTACGGTTTTTGTTTAGGGTTGAAAAACTAAGCTGGTTTTGGGGACGTTTTGTATTTTCCTTATTTGGGTTTATAAGGGGGCCCTTTACATAACTATTTTCAGAGGGTTTAAGGGCCAACCCAGAAAGTCTGGAAGCCAACAAAGGGCCTACATTTTGCGGTCTAGGTGCTCATGCACCCAGGCCGTGAACCTTAACCTGATATTCGTCCGTTTCCTTAAAGGCTTCACCACGGAGAACAAGCCAAAGTGTAAGGCAGAAAGAAGGAACTTGTAGGCTAGCATTCTAGTTATTTAAAGGCATCTAAAACCTAATCTAAACCCTAAGAGAGATAAACCTACGCCGTAGGCCCCAACACCTTGGGGTTCGGGTTTCGTGTGCAGGCCTAGATTGAAGAAGCTGCGGTTTCTGGAGATTTCTTACCTCAAGCACACTTGGTAATTGGTATTTAAACAGCACATCCTTTTATTATAGGCAGTCTTACCCTAATCTTTTGACATTAAGCGGGGCGTTAAGGTTTGGACAGTCGGCCCGTGCTTAGGTCCCTGCGGGCCCTCCTCCCAGCGCCCCGCCGCCGGTCATGGATGACATGGCGCCCCCGCCGGGCCCGTCGTCAGTAATGGTTAGGTCTAGACTTCCGGTTTTGAGGGGGCTTTAATCGTAAACGCTGGACTCCAAAGCCCAAGCTCCACAAGGCTTTTATTCCCCAAAGTTTGTGGCCTTTGAGCTCTAGTCTCGAAGTCAAACAAGCTCATGTGCACCCCACATTCACTCTTCATCTTTTCAGGTTCCGCGAAGGAGCGGGGGTGGGGGGAAGCGGTTGCTTGAGGGGTTTCCGGGTTACGGTCAGACCCTGAGGTCTTTTGTTGTAGGATCCTAGGGCTTTGGATTTCGGGTTTAGGATTTGGGGTTTGCGATTTAGGGTTTAGGATTTGGGGTTTTGGGTTTAGGGTTTAGGATTTCGGGTTTAGGATTTAGGGTTTAGGATTTCGGATTTAGGGTTCAAACATTACCTTCAATCGTAAGCCCTAGGGTGTAGGTAGGGTGAAGGACTGGGTTCAACCTAGCTTGGGGCTTAGTCGGAACGCCTCCCCGGAGGGTTTAGGGTTTAGGGTTTAGGGTCTTCTTCCCTAAAGCCGCGGGCAGGGTTTGGGGCTTGGAGTGTCGAGTATCCCCACAAGTGGTCTGAAAGATTAGCCGGGCCTTCTTCTATAGGATTTGGTGGGTTTAGGGTTCAGGTTTTAGAATTTTCTAAAGGGTTTGGGTTGTACTCCTTCATCCGGTTCAGGACAGTCCTTTTGCCAAGCATGGGCCCTGAAACCCAACCCAAACCAGAAACCCTAAACCCTAAACCCTAAACCCTAAACCCTAAAACCTAAAACCCTAAACCCTAAACCCTACACCCTAAACCTTAAACACTGTAGCCTAAACCTCTAAAGGCTCTTGAAGCTTCAAACCGAGAGTTTTGGGTGCTTGTTCACTTGGTGCCTTGCTGTTCCTCGAGGTCAGGCCTCAACCCTAAGCTTAGGTTTTCGGGTGATTTTGGGTTTAGGGTTTAGGGTTTAGGGTTTAGGGTTTAGGGTTTAGGGTTTAGGGTTTAGGGTTTAAGGTCATCAAACCCAAGAGTTCCTTCTAGAACCCTTCTACCTGGGATCCATGGTGATAGAAATTCCAGGATTTTTTCTGGGTCTTCTACAATCCTCAGAGCTCAGAGCCCCCTCTACGGTTTAGGGTCTGGGGTTTGGGGTTTAGGGTTTAGGGTTTAGGGTTTAAGGTTTAGGGTTTAGGGTTTAAGGTTTAGGGTTTAGGGTTTAGGGTTTAGGGTTGAGGGTTTAGGGGCCAGCCGAGGTAACTTTGCGCCTCCCCCGGCCGTGGGTCCCTACAAGCCTGGCCATCAGCAAGGGCCTCCGAAAGAGCACCTCGGCCTCTAAAGACCCTAAACCCTGAACGCAAAACCCCAAATCATGAACTCCAAACCCTAAACCCCCAGGCTTTCAAGCCCAAATCATAGACCCCAAACCTTACGGATCCCTCTAAGGGTTCCTTCTAGGTATCTATGGAGGTTCTATAGTATAGATTCTATAGGCTTCTATAGGTGGATTTATGTCTGGTTAGGTTCACGTTTAGAGTCTGCGGGTTTCAGGTTGTCGTAGTTGAGTTCATGAACTTTGATTTTTTTAGGGTTTAGGGTTATTTAGGGGCTTCTACAACGCTTTGACAAACATTGGCAACTGAGGTACCGTGCTGAGCCGCCCCGGCAGATACCAGGAAGCTATCCACCACCTCCGAATGTGCAGAGGTCCGAGTACAGCGCTGTCCCTCCGGCTCCTGCCATTTCAGCTCCTCCAGCTCCCCCCGGCCTCAACCAAGCCCACCCTTACACAGAGAGTCGAGCATCGCATGCCCCACCCCAAGGCACTCCTAGCCATCCTCCACCCCAAACCTACCCACCACAGGGCTACCGGCCCCCGTCTGCATCGCTCGCTTACCAAAACCATCAGAGCCAACCGCCACCCCCACAGCCGCCACCCCAACAGCACCTGCAGCAGGGCCCTCCAGCTCCTCGACAGCCTCCGGCCCGGGAAGCTCGCGAAGCTCGGGAAGCTGCGAAAGCCCCGTACCCCTCGCACGCATCACAGGGCGCTTGGGGTCCACGAGACAACCGGGACACTCCTCCCAGCTCTTGGGGCGCCCGGACCGCCGAGAACACGGGAACTCGTCGGCAGAAGGGCGAAGCACGTCGGGTCCGGCGCCGGCGCCGCTCAAGACGGGAGCACTCGGAGCGCTCCAGAGGTCGGCGAAGGCGCCGGGAGCGGGACCACAGCAGAGGCTCTCCCAGAGCACCGGAGAGACCTCCCGGAGATCACAGCGTCCCAGCTCAGAGTCAGAGCCAAAAGGGACCAAGGGAGCCAGAGCGGTCGCAAGCCTATGTGAGCCCTTACCCGAACCCTCACATGACCCAGCCCCCTTCAAGGCCTCGGCTCCCTGAACGGGTCGAGGCCCCTCCGGGAAATCTGCACGGAGGGCCTTTGACGCAGAGCGCTGCGCCCGCGTGGAGGGATCCACTGCCTGTGCAGCGACCTCCATCACACGCTCAGCGCGAGCCTGAGGGAGCAAAGGTCTTTGGATTCGGTATCCTAGTTAAACCTAGTAGTCGTAGGTTAGTAATCAGACAGTATGTATGTATGTATATATATATATACATACATACATAGATATGTTGTGTAGTCGAGAAGGCCAATTTTTTGGGCTTGAGGCAAATTTGCTTTGTCTTGTGAGGTGGGCGAGGCCTCAACAGCCCTTTACGCGAGCTTCGGTTGTGCCCTCGGCACCCGCGGCGCCTGCGGCACCACTGTCCTCAGCGCCGGTCTCGGCATCTGTGCGTCCGGCAGCACCAGCGGTGGCGTCAGCCCCGTTGGTGAGAGTGGCACTGTTTCTTGGATGCACCCATGTTTTTTTCATGTTGGTGTGTCCGTGCATCAAAACTGAACATTGGGAACAGGGTGCCCGATATTTTTTTTATTTTTTTTGGATACCGGGGAAGGAAAGCTAGATAATCTTCATTCGTAGACGTCTTTCTTAAAGCCCTAAACCCTATACTCCTCAAACCTTCAATCCTAAATCCTAAACCCCTTAAACCCATGCGTCAGCAAAGCAGCAAATCGGAACTAGCAGGATCATGGGACCAATCGTGGGCGGGGCTACGAGTAGTACAGGAGCCTTAATAATTACCTATACTGTTTTGGGGTTCCTTATTATAACGATAGTATAATATACCTCCAAACCCGATTCGAATGATTAAGGCCCCTACATTGCTGCAAACAGAGCTATAACAAAACCACAGTTGCCATAATCATGACCACACTAGATGATTCACGTGATTTTAACTAGTTGGGAGGTTAAACCCTGACAGTGGAATTCCCGAAACCCTAAACCCGTTTGGGGTTTAGGGTTTAGGGTCTAGGGCTCAGTGGAATCTTCAGGAGTCCAGATAAAGCTCCGCACAACTCGTTTAGCGCACCTTGCGAGATCCGTCACTTAGCCCCTTACAGGAAACAGTGAACCGGTCTGCGTATTCCTCAATATGCGAACACTAAACCCTAAACCCTAAACCCTGCTCTCAGCCCTTAAAACCTCTTATCGAACCCTTATGGCAAACCAAAGAATTTTTAATACAAAATATCCTGAAGCCCGAAATCTTGAATGAACGACCCATAAACCCTTGAATGCAGGGCTTGGAAGCAAATCTCTACTCTCGTTATTCAATCCTAGGCCTCAGCCCTAAGCCTGTTTAAATTTATTCATAGGACCAACGAGCGAGAACCTCCTAGCCAAGGCCTCTAAAATTTCACATCCTAGCTGCCCTTTAGATTTGCTAGTCTTGATATGTTAATTCAGTTCTTAGACAGCATAACCCTGGTATAACCTGAAAAGGAAACTTTCGTTCCCTGGAAAACTGGACCAGTAACGGCTTAGAGTTTAGGGTTTAGGGTTTAGGGTTAGTAGGAGTTGGTCCATCGTTGTGGCAGGTTCGATGCGCAAGAGTCCTACAGCTACAGCAGCCTGCCTCCCAGTGTTTGGATGTAAGCGGGTGTAGGGCTCCAACCCTAAACCCCAAACCCTAAAACCTAAGCCCTAAACCCTATATAACCCCCAAACCCCAATCCTAAACCCCAAACCCCGAACCCCCCTAAACCGGGCTCCCTGGAGTTTAGACGACCCGTGATATCCTGAACCGCCATGGAAGGCTGCGGCTAACACCCGACACCACCAACAACAGCCAAGCTTTGGGTTTAGGCTTTAGGGTGTGGGGTTTAGGGTTTAGGGATACCATAACGTACATGCTCCAATCGTGTTGTAATTGAGGACCCTGCACTAGGGGCCTGGATCATTAGATTGTACATTATAGGGTTCCCAAGCATACTTGTAGTAGTCTAATTGTAGGAAAGCCCCCGACCCCGTCACAAAAGGCTAGCAACCTACATAATCATTCAGGCCACCCTAAACCCTAAACCCTAAACCCCAAACCCTAAACCCTAAACCTATACTAGGCCCAATATCAAACCCTTTAAGCCGCTTTTAAAGCCCCAATTACCCTACATAAAGCCTTACAGAGCCCTTCAAAGAGCCCTAGTCTAGCTAGTCTACACCCTAAATCCTAAGCCCTAAACCCCTAAAGAAACCCTAAAGCCCTAAACCCTAAACCCGAAACCCCTAAACCCCAAACCCTAAACCGTAAACCCTAAACCCTAAACCCTAAATCCTAAACCCCTAAAGAAACCCTAAAGCCCTGGTCTGATTAGCCAGGCCTCCATAGTCTACGTCACAGAAACTGCCAAGGTGAGCGATCAGGCTCTGTGGACTCTTACAGCCACCGTCTGAGCCTGTTTTCTTAGGGTTTAGGGTTTAGGGTTTAGGGGGTTTAAGGCTTGTTTTGAAACGGGGTTTGGGTTTGAGTTTGGGGTTGAGGGCTTAAGCTCTAACTTACGACTGTTTTGGTTCAGGGTCGTCCGATTTAGGGCTTGGTTTCGGGATTGGGGTTGAGGGTTAAGTGCTTACGGCTTTATGATCAGGGTTAAGGTGTTTAGGGTTTAGGATTTAGGGTTTAGGGTTTAGGGTTGTTGGGTTGTCATATATGCTGGCGCTTGAGGGTCTGTCTGATTGTTCTCCAAGATTAGATCTTATCGGCAGTTCTAAGCAGGGCTGTAGTACCTAAATTGGGAAAATGTCCTAGCAAGTTTTGGGGCTTGTTATTCGGGACATGGCTTTCGTGGGTCACGGCGCAAGTATGTTTGTTTCTGGGTAATTTTCTAAATTAGGGTCCCTTTTAGGGTCCTTTTTATAAGGGTGCCGTACTATATTGGGGACCTAAGAAGGGACCCTAATGTAGAAAACTCCCCATATGGGTTGTGGGTTACACTTCGAGACGATCCTATCGGCTGGGCAGGTGCGAAATACAGCTGGGCAGGCGCAAAATTCACACACGGCGGTGCGCACCCGTCGTTGCACGGCTTGCGACAGTCGCTAAAGCAGAGGAAGCAATGAGACTGTACCCTAAACCCTAAACCCTAAACCGTGTACCATATATAGGAAGGCATCAAGTAGCAGTTCGGAGCACTGCTTTTCTATGAGCATTGATAGCTTCAGATCATACTTTGCTGTGTGCGCTGGAGAAACACCTTGTCTTGAATTCTAGCCTAAACCCTAAACCCTAAACCCTAAACCGTTCTAGCCTGATTTGAGTCCAGGCGCTGTTACTTCCAGCCTTCTCTGAACCTTTCGTCATGCCACCCAAGACCATGGCTGGTTACGATAAGGCGATTGACGTGACAAGTTCGGAAGAGAGCGACCGCGAGACCACTTCTACCGACGCTGATGACGTCCAAGAGCCTGACTCTCCATATCATCAGGACAAGCGTGACCCAAGTGGTGACAACTCACTGCATGACCCCAGTGCCAGTGGTTCCGCAGCCAACTTCGTTTCTGCAGAAGACTTGTTGCCGGTGAACACGAACGACGACGCGGTGGAGGATTTTTGATCGATGACGACTTTGCTAAGTTGGTGGAGTCAACATCTTTTCGAAGGACAACGACACGGCAAAGAAACAAAGTTCAATGCCACCATGTTCCGGTGTCTCAAGAAAGAGAACCAAACCTCGTCTATTCGACGTCTTTCGGCACTTATCAGGGTGTAGGGTTCGGGAGAGTGTTGAGTGGAATCCATTTTTGGAACCGTCCTCTAAAGCTGTAGAGCCCCCGTAGACACCCGGCGGAGGCAATACTTATAGAAACCCCCTTTAAACAGGGTTAAGGGCTCCTTTAAGGAAACCCTCAAGGGAACCCCTTAAGGGCTCCTTTAAGGGAACCCTTAAGGGCTCCCTTAAGGGCTCCTTTACGGGAACCCTTAAGGGCTCCCTTAGCGCTCCTTTACGGGAGCCCTTAAGGGCTTTGGGTTTAGGGTTCTTTGAATTCCATGCCGTGAGCATCCCTGAAGAGGCTCTTACTCCAGTGTGGGCGACATGGCTGCCGCGGCCTCAGCTCGTGGCCGCAACCTGTAAGGGTTCCGGGGTTGCTTTGAGGGTTCCTTTAATGTTCCTTGAAGGGTTTACAATTCAGGGCTTAGGGTTTAGGGGTTCCTTTGAGGGTTTAGGGTTTAGGGGTTTAGGGTTTAGGGTTTGGGGGGTTCCCTAGATCTAGGACATTTTCACGTGGGTTGAAGGTCTATAATTTCACTATATACCTTGTGGAAGATAGAAGCCCTATATACCCTAAACTCCCCACCTATAGTTTCCTTTAACATAGATGGGTTCCTTTAAGGTTTCTATCAGGGTTCCTGTAAGGTTCCTGAAGGGTCCTCCATAAAGGTTCCTGTAAGGGCTCAGGGTTTGGGGTTTAGGGTTTAGTGTTTAGGAATGGTGCTGTCAGGGTGCCTAAACCCTAAACCCTAAACCCTAAACCCAAAAGAAGGGTTCCTTGGAGGGCACCATAAGGGTTCTATGAGGGCTCTGAAAGGCTTTAGTCGCCGTTTAGGGGTTTGTGGTTTGTTTTTTTTAGGGTTTAGGGGTTTAGGGTTTAGGGTTTAGGCTTTAGGGTTTAAGGTTGAGGTTTTGTTTCAGGTTTGGGCTTTGGCCCCCTGTGTCAGGGCATTACGTTTCTATTAAAAGTATGTAATGGCCCCTACATAAGGACTTAAGGCTCATATTCGGCCTTAAAGTTCATACTAGGGCACTGGGCTTACAGGTTAGAGTAAGGGTCTACCTACAGGAAACCCTGAACCCTGAGTGCTAAAGCCTAAACCCTAAACCTTCAAGCCTAAACCCTCGTTCCAAAGCCCGAAACAATAGAAGGGTTTTGAGTTATGGCCCTAAACCCTAAACCCTAAACCCTAAACCCTAAACCCTAAACCCTTAAGATTCAGGAATTTTTGGCATGGCGGCTTTTGGAAGAGCTGTTGTAAAGGGGTGATGGGCTTAGGGTCCAATATGGGGGCCTTAGTAATTAGAACAGGGTTTTGGGGGTCCTTTAAAGGGTTCCTTAAAGGGAACTATAAGGGTTTAGGGTTTAGGGTTTAGGGTTTAGGCGCCTTAGTCATTCGACTAGAGTTTGGGGTCCCGTTATACTGCAATAAGAAGGAGGAACCCCCAAAATAGTGTTGGTAATTATTTAGGCCCTAACCTGTAAAAAAACCCTCAACCCTAAACCCTGGCACCCTGTAAACAAAAACCCCAAAGCCTAAACCCTGGCACCCTGCACAAAAACCTGAACCCTAAACCCTGTAAAAAAACCGCTAAACCCTAAACCCTGGCACCCTGTAAAGAAAACCGTAAACCCTAAACCCTGGCACCCTTTAAAAAAACAACTACCCTAAACCAGGGTCCGCGGTTTCAATCAGCATTCAAAACGCAATCTGCCATACCCAGGGAAACCGAGCAACGTAGGGTTGGTCGCCCGAGACAGTTTTGGACAACTACGAACATGGACAAGGCATGGAACGTCATAAAAAGCCATGACGGAACAACTCCTGATTTGCCTTCCAGTAAGCACAACAGAAATATGAGAGAAAAAATGATTGATCACGCGCGAAGATACCTCCCGCCGTTCAACTAGGAAATCACTCGGACGGCAGTTTCGCTTAATGTAAACCAACTCAGTGTGAAGCAACTCAGTGTGAAGCACCACTTTTGTGAAGCAGCGTGGACGCGTTAAAGATACAACAACCAGATATATTAAACATTAAGTCTCAATGTGAACTGCTCGGTGTGAATCGGCTCAGTGTGAAGAGGGCTGTGTCACCTCTAAGGATTACAGAATGGAAGATCATATTGTTCAGTGGTCATATAAATATTGACGCGGAGTGAGCTGTAGCATGAATAAGGAAGTAGGTTAGCACCGACGACTTGCGCACCCATCTAGCTGCAAGTTAATGTAAAAAAAGGGTCTAGGGTTCAGGGTCTCGAGTTTGGGGGTTGAAGCCTCTTAGGCTGTGGGCTCAGGGTTTGCGGAACTCAAAAAACCCACAGTCCCCATAAACTTGACCGGAAGCATCAACGCCGAAACCCAAAAGCCTTAAACCCTAAACCCTAAAGCTACCTGGACCCTAAAGAACCTGGCTTTTTTTTTGGAATCCTTGCTATGATTTCCTTCTAGAAGTCCTTAAACTCCAAATTGTTTAGGGTCCAGGTAAGCCTTAAATCCAGACTTAAATTAAACCATCCAAGACCCAAAACCCGAAACCGCAAACTTTGACCCCCCAAGCCCGAAAAGCTAAGCCCTAAACCCTCCCATCCCAGCCCTTGACACCTTAAATAAACCCTAAACCCTAAAGAGGGGCGGCCAAAGAGCGCCTTGCCGGCTCCAGGCAAGCTTGTGGAAGCGTTGAGGGAGGGGGTTGAAGGGGGGGTTTAAGGTTCAGGGCCTGCTGGTCGTGGAGAGCGGGGGGACGCTTGTAGGGATTTAGTGAACCCTGAACCCTAAACCCTAAACCCTCATAAACCCTAAACCGTAAACCCTAAACATTTATGAGGTTTTCTTTGAGACGGATGAGCCTCGGCCTCTCAAAGAAATCCTCATACAAGGCGTCTAGGGTCTTAGGATTCCGGGGAAAGGAACCTGAGCAGCTGGTCGCATTTATTCCTTACCTGGACTCTAAAGAACCTACCTTTTTAGGCTTTAGGGTTTAGGGTTTGGGGTTTAGGGCTCCTTATCATGATTTCCTTATTATATGTCCTTAAAAATGCAGGTTGTTTAGGGTCCAGGTAGGGCTCCAGGCCACTTGACAAGGGCAACCCTCCAGCCACTTGTGTAGTTTAGACCACTGATTGACTGAGCCCTTCGTGAATATTGATTGTAATCTGGATTCGAATCCACAGGCCCCGGCACAACGATACCGATGAGGGCCTTGCATCATACATGCTAAACCCTAAACCCTAAACCCTAAACCCTAAACCCTAAACCCTAAACCCTAACCCCTAAACCGACCATACTTAGAAGCTTTCCCTTGATGGGGCCCGGGTCCTCAGAAAAGAGCGTCCAAGGTTGAGGGCTCCAGGAAAGGGGTTTAGGGTGCAAGACATGGATTTCGGGAAGAGAGTGTAGTCTCTAAGACCGCTATATCCTACATAAAATAGGGTCTTAATAATTTGAATAGGGTTTGGGGTGCAAGACATGGATTTCGGGAAGAGGGTGTAGAGACTGTTGCCTCTAAGGCCGCCATATCCTACATCATATAGGGGTCTTAATAGTTAGAATAGGGTTTGGGGCTATGTTATACTATAGCTATAACAAGGCGCCCCTAAACCCTAAACCCTAAACCCTAAACCCTAAAACCTAAAGGCTAAACCAAAACCCTACTCTGATTAAGCGGCCCCTACATTATCTTGAAAGTGTCCTTCAAAAGTCCTACAGCCGGAAGCCTTTGATTCTTTGCCCATGAAAGGGCCCACCGAGTTTACTAATTACGTCCAGGGTTTACGGTTCATTATAGACCCTGAAGCCTAAACCCCTAAACCCCCCAAACCCCCTAAAGCCTCTAAACCCCCTAGACCCCCCAAACCCCCTAAACCCCCCAAGCGCCCTAAACCCCCTAAACCCTCCAAACCCCCTAAACCCTAAACCCTAAACCCCAAACCTATAAACCCTAAGCCCTCGAAGCCCCCTAAACCATAAAGGATAATCAGTGAGATCGTCCCATGGGGTGGATGAGTACTCGTATATTGTACTTGGTCCCAGGACCCTGCTCAAAGTTGTCAAGGCCCCTCTGCGAAACCCTTGTAGAAGCCTTTATAGTGCAGAGCCGTAAAGAAGCCCCTTTTTAAACTACACCCTAAACCCTAAACCCCAAACCCTAACCCGAACCCTCACATCCCCCTAAAGCCTTTTTCTTTACGACATGAAGCTCCATAAAACCCTCAACTTACGCAGGCATCTCGCCTTTTGCATCGGCTGTTGCTCCTGTAGCCTCGGCACCACCAGCACAACCGGCGCCAAAGGCACGGCTCCGGGGTTCTGGGTTTAGGGTCGGATGGATTCCTGTTGGGCTTTATACAGTTTTTGTGAGGAATGCAATAGGTTTTGGAGGGTTCTAGATTGGTTGCGACTAGGACTCAGCAAGGGCTCTATAGGGGCTTTACAAAGGCTTAATAGTACGAGCTCTGTAGATTAGGGCTCCGCATAATCAAGGAGAAACCCTAGTCTGTGGTTGAATAGTTCACAGTTCACGTTTGTCGAGTTTGAGTGTAGGTCCTACTGCTTGGGCTTGTAAACCCTAAACCCTAGGCCCTAAACCCTAAACCCTAAACAAACCTTATACCCTAACAAACCCTGCTCAGGTTCTATGTACAGGCTTAGTTTCGGAGTTCTCTGCTCGAGCTCGGGTTGATAGGAGTTCGTTGAATCCCTAAACCTTAAACCCTAAACCCTAAACCCTACTTAAATTAAGGCTCTTAAGCTAAAGCTAGATCTTAAGTTGGAGTAGCAAAACCCCTTTGGTGCTTTCGCCAGGTTTCAGGTTCTTGGGCCAGCCCCGAAGCCCCTGCTAGCATCCTTACAGTACCCTTAGAGGTGTAGGGTTTAGGGGTTTAGGGTTTAGGGTCTAGGGTTTTGGGGTTTAGGAGTTTAAGGTTTAGGGAAACTTTATAGGGTTTAGGGTTTAGGGTTTAGGGTAACCTTATAGCATCTTTGCAGTACCCTTAGAGGTGTAGGGCTTAGGGGATATATAGGGGCCTGAGTAATGACCTATGCTATTTTTGTGGGCTCCTTATTACAATTATAGTATAGTATGCCCCCAAACCCGATTCTAATGCCCCTATATTAACCTTGTTGCATCCTAAAACCCAAACCTAACCCCCAAACCCTAAACCCTAAACCCTAAACCCTAAACCCTAAACCCTAAACCCTAAATCCTAAACTCTAAACCCTAAAAAGCCCCTCGGCTTTCTTTCTCTCATCCACCGGCAAGCTGCGAAGCCCCTTCACCAACGGAATATACCTCACACCAGATCAAAGATTACCCTTAAACCCTAAACCCTAGGGTTTAGGGTTTAGGGTTTAGGGTTTAGGGTTGAGGGTTTAAACCCTTTGAGTTTAAGGTACATTCCTTAACTGAGGGGTGTCGAAGTTTCTGGGTGTCGGCCCAAAGCCCTAAACCCCAAGCCCAAATCACAAAACCCTAAGCCCGAAGCCCGAAGCCCTAAACCCTAAACCCTAAACCCCAAACCCGAACCGTCAAACCCCAGCCCTAGACCCTAAACCTCAACCCTACACCCTAAACCTCAAGTCAGTCAGGCCTAAACCCTATGTGGGTAGTTCTCTAAATTAGGGTCCCTTTTAGGTACTTTTTAAAAGAGTGCCGTGCTATTTTGGGGATCTAAACGGGACCCTCGTTTAGAGAACTACCCATATACTACCTTTATAGATCCCTTGTGGAACCTCTTAGGCTTTAATGGCTGCAGGCCTCCGCCGAGTTGGAGGAGGAATACTCCGAGCGGGCTCCTTAGGGTCCGTTAGGGATTTAGGGATTACGGTTTAAGGTTGCGGCTATTATAGCTTTCGGGTTTGTAGAGGGTTCCCTGCAGGTCTGAAATACAGGATTGTTGCAACAATGCAGAGCTTTAGGTTTCTGGAGTACCAACAACAAAAGCTTTGAGAGTGTAGTAACCCTAAACCCTAAACCCTAAACCCTAAATCCTAAACCCTAAACCCTAAACCCTAAACCCTAAACCCTAAACCGTTGCAGTGTGGTCTTTGTGACTTCGGACCTACAACTTGGGTACTTCGGCTTTGTGATTACAAGTCTATTTTAGGGGGTAGGGTTTCATTAGAATTGGAGGGTTTAGGGTTTAATATAGGGGCCTTAATAATCACCTGTACTATTTTGGGGGGCTCCTTACACTATAATTTACTTAAAGCCCTCTTCTAGTTCTTATAAGGCCCCTACGTTAGGGTATTTCAGCTTTCGTCGAGTTCAGGGCATGTCACTCGTCTGATCCAAAAGGACAGAGAGTTTATCGGCCCGAGCCAGAGTCGTAGGTAGGCAAGAAGAGGAGCTTCACCCAGCCTGGATGATTTTTCTGAGGGTGTGGTGTGCGGTACAGCTGCTGGAGGCTTTCGCTGGGGGAGACTCCCCGAGCTCCATTAAGGTGTGCACTGCGGGTGACTACCCACCCCTCACGCACTTCAGCAAGAAAGGGGGTTTCCGTGGCCTGCCACCGGAGGTGCTTCAACACTTTGCAGCATCTCACAACTACACCATCGACTTTGTGGTCACTCCATGGGCAGATCTGGCTGCCTTCCTCAAGACGAAGTGTCTGCTTGCTGCAGGAGGCATTACGTGGACTCGCGACCGTGCTGAAGAGTTTCTCGTCTCCGTGCCGCTCGAAGCTGACAGGAAAGTTCCCATCTTTGCTTCTCGGAATGCGCATCACTTCAACCGTTTTAAGGATATTAATCAGGAAGGTATCAGCATCATCGAGAACCATGGTGGCACGAATGAGCGATATGCCCGCAAATTATTCGAGAAAGGTTTTCTGACGAAGCCCAGTCTGGACATCATTCCCACCAACGAGGAGGCCTACGCATGCTTGCGAGAGTGCAGCGCGCACCCGCTGGTCATGTTTACCGATAGCATTGAGGCAGAATACCACTCTGGACAGTCAGGCTCTAGTCTTTCAGGCGAGGGTGTCCACATGGCTCTGCCAGACATGCCGGCCTTCGACAGCCACAAGGTTTACCTGGCAAGAAACAATTCTGCAGGTTCTGCGATACTTCAAGAACTGAATCCTTGTAGCTGAGTTTGTCAACTTTAGTTCTTTTGTTGGTAGCATACGTTTGTGTCCTAGGTCTTTGGTTCAAGCTGAAGATCTGCCGGTGGCATGATAGGCCTACGAACTCGCAAGCTAAGGAATCAGTTTCTTCTTGAGATCCAGCGGGACGGTCGGTACGAGCTCTGGAAGAGGAAGGCTTTCTCCAGCAAGTATCCATCTCTTCCGGTATCTTGCCCCCTGAACCTGGGCTCTTGTTGACGAACCTAACCTACCTTATCCTAAACCCTAAACCCTAAACCTTAAACCATAGAAGACATACTTTCCTCATGGCAGTTTCCTATCATGGCAGCTTAAGCCAAGCCTTGTACTTGCAATACTCCTCCTACCCTAAACCCTACACCCTAAAAGCCCTAAAAACCTCAAAGCCCTAAAAGCCCTAAAAGCCCTAAAAGCCCTAAAAACCCTAAACCCTAAACACCCTGAACCCTAAAAGCCCTAAGCCCTAAACCCTAAACTCTAAACCGCTCAGCTTGCGCTACGTTTCTTAACAAGGAGCCTGGAAGGCGCCTTGCACCGAAGGTGCCCTGGGGCCACGAGAGAACTCGAAGATCCGGAAACAAGGAGCCCTGATTTTCCAGGAAAGTAAGTTTAGGGTTTGGGGGTTTGGGTTTAAGGGTTTAGGGGTTTAGGGTTTAGGGCTTAGGGTTTAAGGAATACTGTTTAAGGCTCCTTCAAGGGATCCTGAAAGGGATCTATAAGGGTTCTATAAGAGAATCAACGGGGATATACCTTATATCATATCGGGGATCCCATCCCTAAGGCTCTAGGGACTCTTATTCTACGGGGCTTTTGTGTTATTTTGAGCCCAAGGGCAGAATAATTCAAGGTAGATTCCGTAACTCAGTGGTATTGGAAGGTCTGGGAATGCAGCTTAAAAAGCCCTAAACCCTAAGCCCTAAAAGCCCTAACAACCCTAAAAACCCTAAAAGCCCTAAACCCTAAACCCCTAAACCCCTAAACCCGAAACCGTAAGTCTACTCGGGATCCTGTGGTCAACTGCGGGTTCATTGTTCAGAGTTTCGGGCTTGAGGGTTTAAGGGTTCGGGGTTTTGGGGTTTCGGATCTAGGCTTCGAGTAGTGTAGGGTTTAGGGTTTAGGGCTTGGGGTTTACGGGTTTAGGGGTTTAAGGGTTCGGGGTTTAGGGTTTAGGGTTTTGGGTTTTGAGGGTTTAGGGTTTAGGGATTGGGGTTCAAGGTTTAGGGGTTTCAGGGTTCGGGGTTTAGGGGTTTCGGGTTTTGAGGGTCTAGGGTTTAGGGTTGCCAAGCAAGAGCTCCTCGTGGTTCATTGCGTGTACAGTGGAAGCATCCAGTCTTTTGTGGCAACGCATCCCATGCATTGGGAGCCGATGCAATCAGAGCGTGGAAGATTCCAGCTCCCATGGCTCATGGCAAAAGATGTTGTGTTTAGGGTTCAGGGTTTCGGATGCAGGCTTCGAGTAGTTTAGGGCTTTTAGGTTTTTAGGGCTTTTAGGGCTTTTAGGTATTTTAGGGTCTTTAGGGCTTAAAGGGATTTTAGGGTTTTTTGGGTTTTTAGGGTTGTAAGGCTTTTTCCCCCCCGTTAAGCCAGGCCCTCGTATCAGGTATTTATTGCTTCGTTCCCCTCTTGCCATCCAGTTTCGTGGGCGTCCGGCCTCTACCCCCAAACCCTAAATCCCAAGCCCCAACCCAGAAAACCGCGACCCTCACCACTCAAACCCTAAATCCCAAGCCCAAACCTTACACCCTCAACCCTAAACCCTAAACCCTAAACCCTAAACCCTAAACGCTGAACCGTGACACATATGGATAGTTCTCCAAATCAGGGCCCCTTGTCGGATCCTGTTTTGAAAGGTGCCGGGACCTTAAGCACACCTTAAACACAAACCTTAAACTCTAATCCTCAAGCCTCAAGCCCTAGACCCGGAGCCCTAAACCGTTAAACCCTAGTCCCTAAACCCTAAACCCTAAACCTTAAACCTGTAATACTCAATCCATAAAGGAATCCATTTGCCGAAGCCGTGGTTCCTAAGCCTCGAAAGCCAAAGCCACGAATCCCCAAACCCTGAAGACCAGCAAAACAAGGCTCTAGGGTAGGATTTGGGGTTTGGGGTCTCGGACTACAGTGAACCCCAGAAAGTTGGAACATGGGTTTAGGATGACTAGTGCTGGAAATCCCTCTACTTTATCTTTAGGTCAGGAGGATAATGATGTTCCAACTGTCTGGCTTCTACTGTAGGGCTATTAGGCTTTAGGGCTTGAGACCCCTAAACCCTAAGCCCTAAACCCTAAACCCTAAACCCTAAACCCTAAACCCTAAACCCTAAACCCTAAACCCTAAACCGTTTAGGTCGTCAGCTTTAGGATTTGAGGCTTTCCGGCCCTGGGGTTTGAGGGTTTAGGATCTTGGACGCCAAGCCCTGGAAAGCAGAACTCTAAACCCCAAACCCTACACCCCAAACCCTTAACCCCTAAACCCTAAACCGTGAACCCTAATCCCTAAACCGCTGAAGCCCTAATCCCTAAACCGCTACACCCCTAAACCCTAAACCCTAAACCCTGAACCCTAAACCCCTAAGCCCTAAAAACTTAAAATCCTCTGATTGATTCCTCGACCGCCGGAGCGATCCGGTCACGTAGTGTAGGGTTTAGGGTTTAGGGCTTCGGGGTTTAGGGTTTAGGGTTTAGGGTTTTAGGGTTTAGGGTTTAGGGTTTAGGGTTTTGGGTTTAGGGTTTACGGTTTAGGAGTTTCGGGGTTTAGGGTTTAGGGTTTCGGGGTTTCGGGTTTCGGG